TACGTAAACATTCAGAACTTGAGGCGGATACAAAACTAATTGTCGCGGACCAAGCAGAGATATTTCCTGGATATTAAAAGCAGCCGAAACGAGTGAGTAACGACTCAGGAAGTCTCTTTGGGACAGCATGCTCAGTTATGATTACAAATTTTACACGGAATGCGTTCAGTATATGTATCTAGCCCATTCTTATCGTTGGGGCTTGTAATAAAACAATTGATTCACTCTTAGCACACGGGGCGCACCGACATCTTTTGACATGTCTATGAGCTGGCTCCGTATTGACTTCATCGGAGAAAGCCAGACAAACGACCCGCATTCACATATAGAGTGGATAAATAACGGGAACATTCCCTAGTAATATCTACCTCTAGACAATATGTATTAGACTAGGCGAGAGTACGTCGGCGTCTGGCCGCGGGACGAAACTTTTGGCCAGTAGCGTCCTTTCAGCAAGGTTCTGCCTTACTCAGTGTGGTGACCGCCATTGTTGAAAGGAAATACCCAGAAAGTAGAAATCTAACTATCATCTGATCACATCGCATGCATATCCTTCTAGCGCCCCATTCCATGCATCCCATCCATCCCATCGCACGCCCGCAATAACCCATCCATCCCACTCCATATCCCATCCCGTTCCATCGCCATCCATGCCACTCTCTGCTCGCGGTCAATGGCCATCCGCGCAAAGGCAAGAACATCCATCGCGCCTCCGGGTAGTGCGGGAGGTTGTGGGAGGTTCGCAGACCTGGCTCGTTATAAATAAGGGTCGAAACCCACGCGCTTAATGCGCGATCCCATCCGCCCCCAGTGTTGCGCGGATTTCTCATGAAAACCTTATGGAAAGACCCCGATCCCAGTGCCGATGAGCCCACGCCTATGGGCCCCATCCCATGCCATCTACTCCCATCCATGGCGATAGCATGCCATCGCATGCCATCGAAAGAATGCCATGCAGAGTGCGGACACCAAGGCGGGCTATGCCCAGTCATAAAGCGCATGCCAATCCCTCAAGTCCCATCCCAGTCCATCCATCCCAACAGTAAAACAACAATAAGAAATCAAAAGATAAAAGCACATTAAAAATAAAAAATTAAAATGAAAAAGTAAGAAATTAAAAATAATACATACTAAAGAGGTAGGTAAAGGGAAAAAATGAAAAAAGTAATAAGTTCCCCAGCTGGGACTCGAACCCGGAAACCCGGTGTAGGAGACGGATGTTCTAGCGATTATGCCACTGCGCCGTTCAGGGTATACACCATGGATTCACACGTATGTGATGTTTTAATCTGCTACGCACCGCCATCTATTGATGAATAGAATTTTTATCAATTTTTAACTTTTTAACTTTTTAAAATTTTTGTTTTAGCCAGAACTACCTCCCAGACGTGCTGATTCTGAAAATATCTTGAGTTTTCCTCTAGGCTGCGGAGTTCTCTAGTTATGCGAGTACGGACTAATTCGGCTGAACAACTTTATATATATAGATTTTCCTCTAGGCTGCGGAGTTCTCTAGTTATGCGAGTACGGACTAATTCGGCTGAACAACTTTATATATATAGATAATGGGATGTATCTTGTGTTGGCTAATATTATGCCGGTTTAATTATTCTTAGTCACCATTGGAAAACTAATTGTATATGATATGACAATTGACATATAACCAAATATATAAATTAATAAATTATGTATGTCATCATTCATGTTATAAAATATCAACAAAAACACGAGAGGTAGCGGGAAGGCAGCCCACGTCCTAGCTCTCTGCTAAACTGCCACTTTACCTGTAGCATGTGGTATAATTTTGAAGAAGAACGAGGAAAATGAGATTAACATGCGGTAAGAGGCTCGGTTAGAAGGCGGCATTTAACCGAGGAAAACCAAGTGATCAGTGAAATTGGGGAGGCGACTCAGGATGTAACGCGCAAGGAAAGAAAATATCTTTTTTAGAAATGCACTGGAGGAAGAAGATAAACGGGACGACGCATGGCGGAAACCAGTTATAGCGGGGCACGAGATGTCATTAAGCTAAGCGTGCTACAACGACGCCAAACCCTTGAACTCGGAGATGGTTAAGGCACTGGCTTTGTGCTTAGAGCAACTCGAGCTCTAGCGGTTATGAGGCGTAGCTCACGACACACATCTACGACGGAATAGCGAGTGTAGATTATTACCGTGTTATTATGCATGCGTGCGCTTGCGATTTGCTATGTCGGGGGTGCGTGCGTGGCGCTTGCCATCGATGCACGTACACGTGCGTGCTGTGCGCGGAAGCTGGTGCAGTACGCACGATTCGTGCGCCGGCCGAGATATTCGCCGCCGCCATCGCGCGCACCGTGTTTTATGGTTAGACGCTCGCAAGGGTGACCCCTGTCGCGTCTAGAGGAGAAAATTTTCATCTCTATAGCTTTGCTGCAGCGGAGTGGGCAGAGAGAAACGGGGTGTCCGCATGGGAGACCTGAGGACAAGCGCTGCATGGGAGAAGAACTATTTGCTTGGAAGCCGTCGGGCGGTTGATATGTGGGTAGAGATAGTAGACGTGCAGCTAAAGAGTAGATGCGTCCTGCGTTGTGACGAGTTTAAGGCTGGAGTGTATCTCCCCC